GATGTATAATCACGAAATTATTACAAAACATTATGTAACATATGCATTATTTCACTAAAATATTTAAGTTGCTCCGCTTGAAGAGAATCAATACTCTATGAATGAATGGGCTTATTCCTAGCAATAGTGTCACTAATCTTGTGTAAGCATTCTCTCTCTCTCTCTCTCTCTCTCTCTCTCTCTCTCTCTCTCTCTCTCTCTCTCTCTCTCTCTCTATATATATATATATATATATATATATATATATATATATATATATATATATATATATATATATGTGTGTGTGTGTGTGTGTGTGGTTGTGTGCGTGGGTGTGTGTAACTTTAAAATAATTCAAAAAATCCTAAATTTAACAAACATGCTTGTAAAATATAAAGATTAATGATCAGACAATAAGAGATATAATCAAATAAAGCAAAATAGAGCAACACAGAATAGGAAAGCGCATCATGATGTAAGTGGTGGAATAGAGCTAACCAACAGCAAAATAAAATAATCTGTTGCCGACCGAAGCAGACTAAATTACCCCAAAATTAAAATCACACACAAAACGGAGGCAAACAATTGTGCAGTTAAAGTACAATATAACGAATAATGAAATAACCGCGTAATCAATCATAACCACATAATCAATCACAGGTTATCACAACCAATAGCCACTGGTGGTAACCATTGTCTGGTGAAAATCTACATGGCTGGGACATTTTCAAAAACCACATTTGCAACTAAATTCATCATACCTCTAGTATTGCATCGACACTTCCCCCGTGCCTGTCGCTTAATTTTCCGCACGTCAAATTCCAAGTGAGAAAACTGCACCTACTTTGTCTCTTCAATGTCACTATCACATGTCCACGTAGTAGTTCTAAAATCTATGACATCGACTCTCATATGCATGAAATGAGGATGTCTACGTCCTAAAGTTTGAAGAATCTGTACTAGGTAACATGTTTGACCCAAAATTAGCCCTTTAAATTTGTGAAGGCACTACGTGAAGAATATCTTAAACAGCATTTTGACATTGTTCGATAAATTAAATTCTCATTACTTCAGTAGTACCCTACTGTAATGCCTCTTTAATTGTGTAACAAGGAAGTATTCCATATTTATTCCAGCTCCACATCTAGCTCACATTTACAATTTTCAATGGCAGAATATTCATTTATCGTTACATAAAATTGTTTTCTGTAGAGATGATTTCTTAATTGATTGAACTTGGGCCTTGTTTCACGACGTGTCATAAAAGTCGTAAAGTTGTTAAGTTTGTTTTGCCTTCGAATATAGTCGTAAGTCATTAATGTATATATTCGTTCATTCTTTCAATCAATGATTAGTTCATTTGACATTCAAATTGCTTAATTGTCCAAATTTAGTTTTAGTTCTATTAATGCAAACGTGTGAAACATGTATTATCCTGTTTTCAATCTCATGTGCAAACTTTACATACATCGCAGTTTTCCGGTCGCTCTTCAGAAGAAATTGCAGTCCATCCTTTCGTTCACCTTTTACCACTGTAATAATACAAATTTGTATTTTTACAAGTATGTCGCGTTGTTTATGTATTATTATGCTTTATTCGTAAATGGACGATGAAATTAAAACAATTAATATTCCTGGTTATTATCGTGTTTTGTAAACCTTTTGCACGACTTGGAATATTATTAATGACAATTAAGGCAGAGGCATTTTGCTACGTATTTCAAATGAGATATAAACTGTCTTCAATTATATCTTCAAATGATAATAATACATCTTAAACTGTAAATTTTGTAAGGCTGTTTGCGGTTTTTATAGAAAAGAAGGGATTATTCTTCCTTTCCTTCGATTTCGTAATTATGCCAGGTTAGTGAAGAGTTTTCGTATGTCTTCAGGTCATTAAAGTCATTAAAGTCATTTGATTATTATTATTATCATCTTCAAATGATAATAATACATCTTAAACTGTAATATTTTGTAAGGCTGTTTGCGGTTTTTATAGAGAAGAAGGGATTATTCTTCCTTTCCTTCGATTTCGTAATTATGCCAGGTTAGTGAAGAGTTTTCGTATGTCTTCAGGTCATTAAAGTCATTAAAGTCATTTGATTATTATTTGATTCCAGTCCCATTTGAATTCCCATTACACTTACTAATGTACGTACACTCTCATCAAGTGACTGATTTTCCAAACTCTGTTTGGAGCCGAGGCAATTAAGCTGGTTGAAGAACAATGGTAGCTGAGGAATGAAGATGTCGGTAAACACGTTCTTTCACTTCCGAATCCTTTAATGCAAAACTAAAGTATATAGTATATACGAACGTCATTGCTCTATATGACCATTAAACATCCACAATATTACGTCATTCATATTCTTAAGACATTATAGCTATTGATATATGTGATGCAAATTAGAGCATGGTGGCAGAACAACTTCTACCTTACTAATCAAAACTAGCAGTGATTTTGGGTGATTTAACAACAGTTTTCCACAGGACATCACATGCATAACGGCCAGTTTATTTGGTGGTGAAAGAGCCTGGAAAGAACCCGAAACCACATTCTCACACTGATTTTGCCGAGTGTTGAGCTCACTCAAAACCAAAAAGTTCAAATTAAAGTGATCTGTAAAGTCAAACCATACAAGACGCATTTATGTCCAGCTACTCAGAGCCGATTTATATTGTATATGTCACTTAAGGTCATCATCAGCTTCTGATAGCAACCACAAGATATCAAAGTAACCAAGTTACGTACATGTTCGCGAAATTGGTCATTCTAATTCATCAATCGAAGATTACACACACACACAAACATACACACACACCCATATATATATATATATATATATATATATATATATATATATATATATATATATATATATATATATATATATATATATATATATATATATATATATATATATATATATATTGTCATGAATAATGAAAACAATCTTCAAAATAGTTCCCATATCTTTGTCAAAAATTTTATTCCTTTTACGTTTTGTTTAAACTTTTAAAACTTGGCACATTATCATAGTCACGGAAACGCAACTAATATCAAATGACCTTGCTCTGTATTCACAAAACTCATCAAATTAAGTACTCTAGCAGACTATTTTATTTCATTTATTTAATTGGATTTGGTTTACGTTCATAACATAAGTGACTAGATAATCTCATTGTTCATGTTTAAGTTTTCTAGTACATAAATTATTTCTTAGTTTTAAATGTAATACAAAACTGAGTTTGGGTGTGTAGAGTTTGGGGAGTCATGCGAATAGAGGTTCTGATCGAGAATTATGTTTGCAGTAGATGAACTCCGACACGAAATTATTACTTTCAGTTTTTATAACTATACTTAAATAAATGTAATATTACTGAAATATCTCAGTTGCAAATATATTTGCATTTTATTTAAACAAACTGTCAACGATGTGAACATACTATAAGTTTAGTTTTGTATTTCGCAATCGTACTTTATGTTATTACAGTGTGGTTTGCGTATTGACTGTTGGTAAAGAGGGGTATCCAAGAGGCATGCATCCAGTTAATGAAGAACAGAGGCCTGTCAGTTTATACTATATTGAGTTTATGTGAATATGTAGAAACGCATCATTTTGACTAAACAAAGTGCAGCTTGGATTTTAGATACATAAACAGGGTAGGAAAACGATGACATATATTGAGATATTCCACATGCGACAATTTTTAAGGATATACTCAATGTGTCTGCTTGATATTTTATTTTTTTGTCTGAAACATAACAAGAGTAAAATTGTCTATTTTGTTTATTTTGTTCTTTCTTCATAAGGTAGGAATCAATAATGATCAGATTTCCATCGCCCCAGAGCCAGAGGCAGCTGGTATATGGTGTGATTAGAATCTTTGAAGACATCTCAGCCAGACGGATTATTCCATCCAGGAATGAGCTATATGGGTGTGGATATGGGAGGCATGTCATAAATACATTTAATACATTGTCCATACTTTCGATTTGGAAACAAAAAGAACCAATTCATGTTTGCCTTGTGAAAACACCATTTGTTGCTTCCTCATCTTCTTTGCTGCTCCTACTGCTATTGATGATGCTTCTGTCACAAGTTCATTCATGTTTGCTTTTACTTTAGTATTCCAATTAGGCATGCTGCTGTCTCTGTTATTTGCTAATTATTGCGCTGCCACTTATGTAATTATTATTTGTGCTTTTGCTACGATTCTTTAGCCCAGGCCCCCATCCACTATATCCTTTGAAAATAATTGTGCTGGAATTTACCATCAAAAACAGTGTCTTGTTGGTGACTTTCTACAATCGTTGCTCCTTTATGTCACTGAAGCATCAGCTCTTATTCCTGCCATTAGGTTTAAGGCTAGTGAACAGAACAGAAGTGACATGTCTGATGGGATCGGCCACACTTCAACACTCTTCAACAATGACAAGATAACTACTCACCTAGTTAGTAGAATCAAGTGACCATTTCCAATCGATAATCTCTTTAACTGACAGCCAGTTGGTGCTGGATATAAAGAATATCGTGACTTTGTGATAATATTTCGTAGCATTTATGTAACCAATAATTAAAGGTTTACCTTTGCAACCAAATTGTATATATCGCTTTCGTGACTCTTCATCACACCAGTTGAGAGTACCTTGAGAGTTTGGGTCAGAGAGGTTTGTTGTTGAATGCTTTCATAAAGTTGATAGCGTCCCGGAGCAATTTTAGTAAAATTACTCTTCACAGAGACACAACATGGCAACAGATGAAGCCTGCTCTGCAGGTGTGTGAGTGTGATTTAGATTTTAAACGTAGCTTTAACAATTTTTCATTCATATCGCTACGATGTCTGTATTGTGACAGTATAGTGATGTCTAGCACTGGAGCATCATGCCGCAGACATGTAACATGATGTCCCACCCAGTCACATTATCCTCTCACCAGACCAAACAGTCTTAACATTAATCTCTTAATTCTAAGCACTAAGCGAGGCTGCTGTTAGTACTATTTTTGTAAGTCTTGGTATGACTCTACCGGGAATAGAACCCAGGACCTCCCGCATCCAAAGCGGACGCTCTAACCACTAGGCCAACAGAGAGGTCCCTGCTCTGCAGGAATCTGGACGCAAGTCCTGTTTTTCAAAAACTAAATGACTGTGTTGGTATTGCTACATAAATGCATGGACTGCCCCTCAATACGGACATGCATACTTACCTACCTACATACCTACCTACCTATTTAATATACGTACATACATACATACATACATACATACATACATACATACATACATACATACATACATACATACATACATACATACATACATACATACATACATACATACATACATACATACATACATACATATAATACAATACAAATTGTGTATATTCTATAAATACTGATACAAAAGTTTCGTATTTTTGCAGTTTTGCAATTCTTCAGGCCGTGTTATTAAAATGGAGCATGTCTTACTTTTGCGTAAAAATCCTTGTGTTGATTGATTCTTTTCCTTGTTACAAGTTTATGAAATTTAAAAATTAGTGAATACCAAAATTACCAAAGAAGTGTAATCAAATCCGTGAATGTGATTTTAAGGACCTATAGTCAAAATACATTGGCTACAAGATAGCATTGCTTTGAGATTTGTTTCTTAATGTGCTTTTAGTGAGTAATTTTTCAAAGAGTGTCTACTCACCCTCTTAAGGAGGCATATACAGAACAATAATTCATTCCATGATGAATGTATAAATAATATGTACATAAAATACGTAGTAAAAAGGCATTAAAAGTAAATATAAAATAAACATATAATCATATGAACACCAATAATCTAACGATTTTATGGCAATTATTATGCAATACACAGTGCGAGTGTAAAATGTTGGAAAAGGATTGGAAAATCACTATAGCCACCAACGGGAATTATCATATTGCTGAGTGTACTAACAACACATTGTCACGGAATTGTATAAATGTTTTTTTTTTATTAAGTAAACGTACTCTGGTTTCGCTTTTACTGTACAGTGATACCCGAGGGTGATCAATGTATATTATACATTTCGAAAAATAGTGAATTCGGTTCTTCCTTGCTCGGCACGTGCGAAGTGCTTTGGGCTGGAAAAACCGAATACATGGATTACACGGACGATGTTGAGCTACATTGCCTGTGTATATATGATTCAAACTGTAACGAAAACATTACATTACTGACCGTTCTGTCAATCGGACGTCTGTCTACTGAGACCCAAACCTCCAGCTATAGAGGTACGTAAATTTATTCGTTAATATGGCTTGAAAGTTGTCTACTGTATTATCATTTTTAATTCTGCAGTTATGTCGCTTCGACAAGTTTAGTAAATACCGCTTAGTAAATGATAAGGTTTTATTAGTATATGTGATTTGGCAAGACTTCTACGAAATTCCGTTTAATGCAGCTCGAATCCTATAACCCGCCAACTTAACCTGTTTATTGTAGTTTTAAAGGCAAGACTGAGAATGTATATGACTTACCGTATATACCGTCGTTGTGTACTACCGTATATACTAGTGTCATGTGTCGTACACGATATCGTATACATTTTCAGCTGTCCGTCTGTGTTTGTGTTGGTGCAGTGTGCAGCTGTTTGTGCCGTGTGCAGCAGTTTGTGCCTTGTGCAGCTGTCTGTACTGTGAGGGCGTATGCTGTTTGGTGCTGCTGTGACGTGTCGTACAGCAGTGTAGAGCTACGTGTGCAGTGCGGAGGGGTGCTGTGCTTGTGTATTCGAGTGCTTCGAATATTTCAACGTTGCTAGTCGGGTTGAGGTTGATCAAGCGTGGCGGACCAACGTGGTGAACGCTGATAGTCTAACCCAGGAATCAATGGTGGTCGGTGACTACAAATCTTTGCTTGGAATCAGGTAGTGTCTACATTGCTCCAGATACATAATATTTTAGCCGTGGGTTAATGCAGGGTTTTTTGTAATATTCAGTGTTTTGCTATCGTGAGTTAAAAACTATCACTACGCTAGTTTGAGCGAAATCTCATTTGTTTGTAGAACTCATTTGTTTGTAGAACTATTATAAACGAACCATTATTCGTTTTACTAGTATGAGTAAAACTTGCAATTCGTTTTTTTTCTTTTAACGAACACGAACAATCATACTTTAGCCATTATATCAATTCGTCATTTCGAACATAACATTATTCGTCTTTTACGATCATATTTCTGTTTGTGATATACCGTGGATAGTTTTTTTCGTTTGTCTCGGTAACATATTTGTTGCATTTAAAGATCGTGCTTATTATGTTAATTAGTCTCATATTGGGACCCAGTGCAAGGATGTGTCTATAATATTTCGTTTCATACCACCATATAACATTAAAACATTGTATTGCATTCCCATCAATGGTGTTTTGTTATTAATCCGAAAATCCCAAACTCGGTTATCTTGTTACACACATGGAAAAATAACAATCAAGGGCACAATAACCACAAGGAGAAATTTATCAATATGACCCAAACAAAGAAATATTGAATGTAGAGTAGGTTACTATTGACACAGTGATGATAATAGTTACTTATGCATAGTTTAGAAACTAATGTCCACAATACTAAACTAATAAACTAATAACTACCATGACTGACCAGCACCCACTCTAACTCACTAACAAAATCCTTATAGTTTGCTGTACGACCCTACTGACCACTACTGACCAGGGGTGAACTTTACTAGTTAGCAATGACACATACAGGCTGGTGTTTAATTAGTCATGTACGAAGGGTACTCGGCTCAAAAGCGTATTGTAGCGATAACCGTTAGTGATTACACAATAGTCCTTACCGATTGGCTCGAGAACGAACAATAAGAATGACGATAACTGTTCTTTATAGTGTTTTGGGGTTAAGCTAATTAGAATACATCTAATGTGTATCATATATCGGGTTTACTACCTCTATGAATCAGACCGTAACAGGACCTGTGGCTGATCCAGTCCATGAGCAAGAGATCATTTTAACGATTCACAATGTCAGCGTGTTTCGTAGAGACTTTGTGCTGGGATGAACGTACAGTTAGTTGCTTTGCTTGATGTAAGAATAAGTTATAATTATAAATTATGTATAATTACAATTTGTTGTATATAATTGACTATTCTTACTTTTATTTTATGAAACCACCTCATTCCCCTTTTTCACTCCTTCGCTTTTCGTTAACATTTGTCACTCTATGGGTGTTTTTCGTTGAGCTTGTGGACATTGCGGTTCTCAATGTAACTTTGTTGTATTCAAATATGTAATACATATACTGTTTTAAGCTCCAGAATTTATGAATCACTCTCAGAAATAGAAATAGCTGGATACAGGAAAGGTCACAAACACACAAAATGCAAAATTAAAGACTGACATGAAACTATCGCTAATAGTAAAGTTTTAAAGTTTGATGTATTGACAGAACCAATAAAATTAGGTCAAGATATTGACTTTTAGTCAATATGCGTTTGTCAGATCACCAAGTTATGAGAGAAACTTTGCATAATGTTAAATTAGATTGTCTGCGAAAAACCGGTGCGATTTTCGGATTACAATATTCTACCATACGGGAACCACTCTCTAGTATAAAAAGAACACATGCAAGGAAGAATATTGTTTGGACCAAGACTTCCACGCAGGCGTGGAAGAAGACACAGGAAAAAGCGAATGTGCTGCTGTATCCTTTAAAGAAGTAGTAACTCTTGCATACCACGTGTTTTGCAATCTTGAAAGAGGTCCAGACAATTTGTAAAAACTCTAGAGGTCACCATGAGCATCATAACCTGTCATAACCTACACAAGAATATTCCAGTATTACCTCCGCCTCATTACCAAGAATCACGGATGGGAGTGGAATACATATTTCCATCTTCGTTATTGTATTTCTGCAAGTCCGTAGAAGTCGTTGAAAGAGTAATGACCTAAACTTATCGACGTATCTATCCCCGAGGTTTTAGTTATAATAAAATTTGTGTGCATGGGTGATGGAAATGGCGAACATTAGTTCAGTTGTGGCGTGAAACTCAAAGAGTTAGCAGACGAGAAATCTGCCTACGACGAAAATATAGAATGGGGTCAACTCTATCACCACATTCACCTTTGATTTATTAATGACATAATTCAAACTAATATCATTTCACACTCATTTTCCTGCCAAACCCGACTTAATAAAAGTGTCACACAATCAGCTGAAGTCATATTTTACAAGGACGTTTGTTTCAAACGCTACAATTCCACCCTCGTTTAGTCCTCTTGTTTTGCTGATGCTGCCAAAAAGCAGAACTCCAAGAAAAAACTGCAAGGCAGAACTATCTATACAAAAACTAAATTGACTCCAAGAAGGCTTTCAACAATGTATGTCGCTCAGCCTTATATGTTACATCGCAATCGTATTTCATGCAATGTCCAAAATTGGTAACTCGAAATCGAACATTTTCCTATACAGTTTAGTCACAGACAGCTATATTTGATTATGGGTACTTTGATATTCTCAGATTGATGTCTACTGTACCCACGTTTATGGATTTTCTTATTTTCCTGATATTAGTTGATTAATGATAACCAAGAGCACATTCCAACAACATCCCGTGTGGATTCGGATAGCAAAAGTAAATTACACTTTTGACAAGCATATAAATATTATATTCAGTAAAACTGAATTAAATAATGTCTCATCATAAAACAAATTTCACCAGCTCATTATAAAATTTCAATCTATAATGATACATGAAATACAGAAATATTACTCATATTTGTGTGACGTATAAAACTATTATTTTATAAATTAAATTACCCTTGTTATCAATTTAAACATAAAGAGAGCGATTAGATTTTCCTGTTAGACAATTTGCATGCTAATATAAATTATTGTATTTATCAAATAACTAGAATGTCTAAAACATGAGTATCTTTATTGTGTACTAATGCGCGCGTACAATTCAATGCCATCAAAGAGTAGGCTAGAAGGGCTTGATTTCGTAATATGCTTGCTTGTAAATAAATAAAAATTACATGTTTTGACGTTTTGGCTACTCATAACGAATACCACTTGTATTTGTAATGTTCATTTTTTTTCTGTTTTGATATGC